AGAGAGAGAGAGAGAAAAAGTTAGTGCAGCCTAATGCAGGAACAGAAAACAAACTTTAAATGACCTGATCAATCTGGATATATAATAATAACAAAAATGTTTGTCTATCAGGAATACAATGCAAAAGTTTTCGATCAGTCACATTTTGTATTCTAATTTATTAAAAAAAAAGCCTATTTTAATCATTATTAGATCTGAGTATAAGATATAAGTAACAAAATAATATAGTAGAAAGAATATTATAGAAAAAATATTATTTATAACAATGATAATTACAGCCGTTTTCAAACAAATAGACAATAGATGGCTTCCATCGACAGATTGGGTCTTCGTGTCGAATAATTTTTACTTTTCTGAATTCCAAGACAATGCCTATTGCGAACTATGTGTCGTTAATTCAATGATCTTGCAACGTAACCCACTCAAAGCTAAATCTAAATTCACCCCTTCCCTATTAAATCGATCATCAAATTTGAAATCGATTAATTCCCGATTATTGAAAATTTTTATTGCGAAAAATATTACCCCAGCCAGGAATCTAACCTGGATCGCACGCTTAACGCGCGAGTATCTTATCCATTCGATCACCGAGACATGTGATAATATTTATCGCAATAACCGGATAAATAATTTTTGAAAGAACACTAGGAGCCGCGTGAAGAATAACAATAATGATAATTACAGTCGTTTTCAAACAAATAGACAATAGATGTCTTCCATCGGCAGACATAGTAATTCTATAATCGATGATCAATATTATTGAAATATCTCTTTTAAAAGAGATTTTTAATCGATATCAATAATATTGATCATTGAATTGTTATAGAACTACGTTGAAAGTGTGCTAAAAAAGCGGCACGTAGTTGGTAATATAAAAATTAATTGAATTTATTTTCATATTATAAAGACTTTAGCAACCAAGATCCTGCTTGCCGAGTAAATGCCATGTCTCGCGTTGTAGTTTATTAATTCAAATATTCCATAATGCATTTTAATTAGTTATTTAATTAGTAAGTTATATTTAAACTTTAATTAATAAATTATATTTTAACGTTAATATTTTGTGCCCTTTTGCAGCAATAACAGCGGTACAATGATCTGGCATTAATTCAGTTAGTTGATTAATGCAAGCAGGTGGAATTTTATTCCATTCTTCCTTCAATGATTTTGATAATGCAGCCTTATTTAAATGTGTATGCTTTTGAACTTGACGATTTAGTTGTTCCCACAAGTGTTCTATCAGATTCAACTCCAATAATTGAGATGACCAGTTAAAAATTTTCACATTTGTAGCAAAAAAACCATTCCTTTAACAACTTTCATAATATTTGGGATCATTATTCTACTGAATTGTCCAATCTTGTGGTATTTCTTTTGACATATGTTAGCAAATTTTTTCCTAAAATATCATTATATAAATCACAGCGTTCATAGATCCATTGATTTCAACAAGTAAAATGTCATATCTGATATTAACAGGACATCGGTAGACAGATTGTCTACCATCATTTCCAAAAAGATTAAATTAAGATTTCATCTGAGAGAGCTACTTTTTTCTAATTGTCTCCAACTGTCCAATTGTGATCTTTATCAAATTATAATCGAGCCTTCCTTTTATTGATTGATGATTTTAATAACTATATAGCCAAAAAATCCTACATCACGTAGTCTTCATCTCAAAGTACTACGGCTAATATCAGCAAGATTCTTATCCTAGCTCGCAGCAGTTTTTTTGTTATCCATAATTGATTTACGTTTAATGATATAATTTATTTTTTTAGATATTTTTTGTGGTCTTCCACTACGCTCGCAATCTTTTAAATCATCCAATGATATTTATAATAATATCATAGTTGATTTATTTATCAATAGAAATGAAGTAATCTGACGAGAAGACTTTCTATTTTCTGAAAATTTAATTACTCTCTTGCGAATTTGGATTTGCGTATGTCGAGCTGTTTATATTTCAATGACTTCCTATGAACTAAGTGTAATTTATCAAATATAGGAATAGAATATAAACTCAATGTAAGGACGAGAGGAGTGATATCAAAGAAGGACGGATACGATGTCCACTTTTTATTAATCGAAATTATGCGCATGCGCAATTCCGCTTAGTACGAGTTGATTTGTTTCCAATAACAAGAACAAAAATATATGGGAATATTGATGAGAATATCAACAGAAAATACGTATTAAAAAAATCTGTAAACATGTATTAGATTGCGGAAGAAAATATCTAATTAAAAGTGTGAAGATTAAAAAAAACTTAATAAGAAAAAGAACTTAATATAAATAATTGAAACAAGTAGAGAAGTTGTAAGAGAAAAAAGAAAACAAAGAAGATAAATAGAGTTGAATAAAATTAAATACGTAATTAAATGTACATATTATAATTATACAAATAATATTTATTAATATATTAATAATTAATATTTTTTAATATATTATTATATATTTTATTAAAAAAGTAGATTACATCTGTAAATAATATAATTTTATTATAAAATTGACGATAACTCTGTTTGTTTGTAAGATTTAACGTAATATAATGTAACCTAATTTTAATAACAATGATTAAATTAAGAAGCATAAAAGCCAACAAATAACGTTTTTAATGTTAAATCGGTTATATTGAGATTGAACAAACTCTAAACAAAGAAAACTATCATGACGAAACGATATTATATCTTAAGAACTCTAATAGCATCAGGTCTTTTACACAGAGGTTTATTGCGAATTAACGTATTATGCATTGTTTTATGTATTTTATATTGATATATTATTATTTGATAATGATTAAAATTCAGCTTTTTTTAATAAATTATAAATTATACAAAAATATCATAAATAATAAATTATACAAAATATCATCGAAAAATCAGAAAATCTTTTGCATGCCACTGTATTATAGATCGGATATCTATAAAGAAAAAATTAATAAAAGATACTGAGAGTAACAGCATAGTAATAATTATGCTCTTTTTCGTCTAGGTTCCAATCATATTTAACTATTTAATTATTATTATAAATTATTATAATAAACTAATTATTATAATATTTAATTATTATTCATATTTAAATTCCATTACAATCCATTCAACTCCTTTCCAATCATCTTCAATGGAAAATTAAAATATATATATAAATGAAAAAAGTAATGTGTCAACATACACCATTTCGAGTGAATCGGTTGAACAATTCATAATTTCCCCTGATTGTCATGTTCACTAAAATTATTTAATCTTGTAATACTGGAAAATACTAAGAAAACACCAATGTTAAAATAAACTCGAACATTGGAGCCGAATGGATTGTAATGAAGTTTAAATATGAAAAAAGAAAAAAGAAGAAAAAGAGAATTATTATCTCATTATTACTCTCATATTTTTATTAATTTTTTCTTCTTATCATATCATATTAAGAGTTTGTTATTTTTTAAATTTCATATTTAATTTATAAAGGATTTATAAAGGAGTTCATTGTAAAAACAGAAAGCGAGTGCACATGTTTTTATCCCTGACTGCTGTCAACCGAAAGTTGGCACAACGGAGGGAGTATGCGTCGCTAAGGCCGAACCTTTGTTATCTTAATTCTCAGTGATTATAATATAATTTAATATCAACTTTCGTATATGAGTTTCTTATGCATTATATATATATATAAAGATGGTTTATGCGATATAATTATCATTTATTATTGTTATGTAGCTATTATTATTAATAAAAAGTTAGAAAAGGTTAGTATTTCGTCGGTGTGGTCTTTCATTGGCTATCCAATGGTATAATATACTAATTCGATTAACCAATGATATACATCACAGGAAATTTTAATGATTTAGAATAGCTCACAATTATAAGATTTATCGATATATAGTAAAGCGATGATCAAACGTATAAAACATCTCGTCTATATATCGGTCGACTATACTTAATTTTTAAAAATCAATTTCTTCAAAACTATGAGCTATTGACAAAAACGGCCGGACACGTATCATTTTTTTTCGCACAAGAACAGCCTGCGCATGAAAATATCTTGACTAATCACCTGTTCTCCTTGTGATTCAAAACCATCTTGAGAGATGTAGAAAAGAATAACATAATATATAGGCAGAAGTGATTCACGTAGATTAAGCACCATGAAGCATTTAAAAATTTTATATATTTTAATATACAAGTTTAATATACAAGTACCATATTTCTTAATATTTCATATTACTACGGATCCTACTAAAAGTATGGAAACAGTCAAATGACTCGTTAGGGATTCATTTTAGAAAAAAA